CATATCATATAATTATGTACATATATATGAATAGGTATTGTATCGTATACGTATAAAATAATAATTCTTTTAACTCTTTATGATTAAAACACGTTTTTTTTACCAATGTGTATACAGACTAAGTACTTACGCCTACTCACGAGTGGGCCTAGATTTAAACCCAAATTTAGTCTCGACTAAGTTTCCGCCTTTTTGTGAAACGCAACTTAGTCCGACTTCTGGGTTTAGTCACTGATTTAGTCCGGACTAGGCTTACGACCGGTCGTAGGCCTTTTGGAGAAACTAGCCCCTGGGGCTCGTTTCTCAAAAAGTCGTAGATTTGGGCCTAAGTTAGTCCGACTAAGAAAGTTACGCCAGAATTTAGACGGGCTTAAATCGCGTTTCTTAAAGCGGCGTAAGACTGAGCCTAACTAACACAGGAATTTAAACCTCTCCTCTTAGTACTAAGCATGCGCAGATCGTTTTTTTGTTTGGTTTAGAGACTATGATTACATGTGGTGGATCAACAAAATATCTCTCACTCTCCCGCTCTTTCTCTTCCTTTATATGTGTGTGAAAGAGGGCGTGAGAGGATGCATGTATATAAAATAGTGCATATCAATTAAAATGATGTATGTAGCACGCGTATTGTGAATTTTTTAATTAAAGAATAGAAATTAAAGTAATAAATCTTATACACACACATGTACATTATGTTATATTTTTCATTGAGAATTATCAAATCCTTTCCACGGTAAAATTATACCCCTTGCCGAATGCGTGTACGTGCTGACCCTGGAAGCTTAATTTTTTGACAGGCTTTGTGTATCGTTCTGAAAAATGGGAGGGGGGGGGGGTAAAAAACGACCTGAAGAAAATAAAACTTACAAGCAAAAACACAAGGTGGAATATCGTCCGAACTCAAGAATCGACTTTGATGTGGTCGGGAAGGCATTTCTTTCGGGGAGGGGTATGGGAACCATTTTACTTTCACAAACAAGTATTATTAATACATAGTCAGATAACAGTGATATAACTATGCGTCAGCCAAAAACAAATGGAGAGACTATCAAAGGACATTTTCAGTAGGAAACGGTTCTGGTTGGAACCCCCCCCCCCCCTTTAGTACGTGTCTGTTTGATATTTATATACTCCGTATCTGTTTGAAATGAATTATACTTTTAGCACTTATTTACAATTCAAGCAATAGACGGTCAAATAAACATTTAAATTACTACAGTATTTACGTTATCAACAATCTTTTTTTATTTTAAAAATGTATTATAAGATCCTATGTAATTATTGTTTATTTATTTTTCATACTCTATTTAAAACATGTATGTGCAAGGAATATAAGCAAAGAATATAACTGATGCAAACGTACAGAAATGAAAAATCCGCAGGGCTTTAATGCATACATGTATTACTGGTTACAGAAAAGGAAGAGGGGGGGGGGGGTACAAGCACCCGCAATCAAATAATATGTACCTTTGAGGGAAAAAAAACCCAGTCTTTTTTAATTTAAAAAAAAAGCTTAAACTTTCAATTGGAATTAAACTCAAAGTTCAGTAAAAAGACATCTATTGTAACATTTTACCATGAAATGTAACCTTGCATATGTATATTACATGCATGCATGTACATGGAGAAATTGATTACGTCAGTCTATGCAGAAATATCTGTACATTGCCATAAACAGTCGTCTGGAGAAGAAAAAAAAAGGAAACTGCAATGGAAAAAGAAAAAGTATCAAAACGAAAACCTAATTGGACAGAGGAAGATAGCGAGAAACTTGCGGGTTTGGTATCTGAAAATCGGGATGTTTTGTTTGCTAAATTCTCGAAAAAATGTTACTTCTGATAGTAAAAAGACCCTGTGGATGGACATTACCAAACAGTATGTTATTACACCATTGTATATTCATTGAAAGTTTATATAATTAATACGTAACAAGTCTTTGCACCTTTGCATTGATTGAGTCGACCATGTAATAATTTTGTACGGTCCAAGTACCAGGGGTGCCCCTCTCCTCCGAAATAAAAACTAGAGGTACTGTGAGCAAGGGGCTCTCTAAATGATACCCCCACCTCCCATACGTGTATAAATGGCAGTGTCCATGTTTTGCTATGGGAAACCCAAAATAGGTGCACAAAGGCAATATGTAATAAAGATTCTGTGAAAGTTTCATCAAATTTCATTCAGTGGTATAAGAGGAGTTGCGGATAAGAGATGGGTACCCCAAAGCGTATCAGACGGACGGACAGGCAGACGGACGTACAGCTATACAGACGGACATACTAATTACAGTATACCCTCCCACTTTTCAAGCGGGGGTATTGCTATAACTTTATACCAAGATTCATGGATTTCAATAATTAGGTTGAAGGTGAATTGCTCCTTATACCTATGCAAATAGTGTACCAGCTTTTTTTCCAAGAGGAGAGATTTTTTTTTCAAATTTAACACGTATTTTAATACATGGCCAAACAAAGCCCCAACATGCATGTGTCTATAAACTCAATATAATCTGGATTTTCACAAGTAGAATATTGACTTCTCTTTATACGCACACAAAATAATTTCTGCGAGATGTAAAGGTATATAGAAAATACTTTTAAATATGAGTTTAATAAAGATGATTTTTATTCAATCTTTCATATATCTATTAAACATGTAAATTAAAATAACGCCTTTCATTTTTTTTTATATTTCGCCTTTCCAAATACGACGGTAGAACGAGTGCAAATAATGGGAGGGGGAAGCTCCTACACCCAACTTTTTGGGGAGAATAGTCTTGCTATAGTTTAAAAAATCATTTTATTTATTGTTTTGCTTGGTCCCTAAACTTTTATTTGCAGCTGTCTAGTTAAACTCTTGCATATTATTGCATTAAAACGAGGTTTTACCGAAAAGTTAAATAAAAAAGACACCCTCCCGAGCTGAGGCAGTTTACTTGGAGGGTGTGTGCCTGTTTTTTTTCTTGTTTGTTTTGTTTATTTTTAGGGAAGCCCCCCCCCCCCCCTCCGGTCAAAGGTGTAATAATGGCTCTTTAAAAGTCATAATAACACGTTTTGAAAGGTTTAATAACGTTTTTTTTACTTTTGAAAAATCATAATAACACATTTTGGAAGGGCGTAATAACGCCTTGTTTTTTTCCTCCAAAGATTGATTCTTCATCGTTTTCGTATCATAAATATGTATATGCCCCCCGGTATATCTATTATTCATTTTTGTAGAATTAATTCCGGATCAGTCACTTGTGGTACAAGAGATATTGATGATGTAAAAAAAAAGATGGAAAGATGTCAAATTGAGAGTGAAAAAGAAGGAAGCAGGGCGAAAACAGGAAGTGAGAAAAACAGGAGGTGGTCCCCCGCCTGACTTAGTTTTTAAGCCGTGGGAGATGGAGGTAGTCGATACCATTCTTCTATAACACATAAACTATAGATATACAATAAATTTCAATATTTCATTGATGTAACAATATCCATAACAGGTTTTGTCCCTATTTCCGGAAGAGAGTATATCCGGACTGGAGGGTGCTGTAGATACGGACTTATCAACTACGGCTAATAAACCAGGTACTCTTTTAACTGCGTTGTTATTTAACCTTTTAAATGTATTAATGTGTATTGAAAGCGAACGCTAAAAAATAATAACATAATAACAATATATTAATTTTGTGAAGAATGTGAGAATTTTCTTAATGATTATTTTATATCATTAACAATTTGTCTTTTAATTACATACTCCTCTGATACGTGTAAATGCATGTTTATATAGACCTACGTGATCAGGTAGGCACCAATAACGAAACGTAAGGTAGGACTGCCACCCCCACCCCGGCCCCCAAACCTACAGAAAATAAAAGTGGGACACCCCATTCATTTGAGAAATGTTATTGAATTAACGCAAAAGTCCTGTCTTCTGTTTGATTGCTTTTCAATTTTTTTTAGGCATCTTTCATTGTAAAGTAATGGGTTTGTACATTTTACACTCTCTGTTGCAGGATGTTCTGGGAAGTCTGCTTCTGACACAAGTTCGTGTAGTCAGATTCAAGGTCCCTTGATAGAGTCATTTGAAGATACATATGAAATCATAAAACATATTCGCTCACAAATCTTTGGAATATTTCTAAGCTTTTTTGCATATATTTATTGACATATATCCATGCATGTACTCAAATAGTTCACGAAGTGGAAATACCAACGGAAGCATGTACAAGTGCAACATTGCAATCCTCCGACAATGATGAATGCACACGTCAATTAATGCAAGGGGAAGAACGCACTGGCCATGGAAAAAGCAAGGGGAAAGCTCTTTCAAGTTAGTTTATAATGAAAAATATATTTTATCTGTACATAAAATGGAAAGTTAATTAGGTCTTTCCACCTTTCTGTGGAAAGACCTATTGATATTCTTCTGTTTATTATTCTTTTTAGGTCTTTCCACCTTTCTGTGGAAAGACCTCTTGAAATGCTTCTGTTTATTATTTATTTAGGTCTTTCCACCTTTCTGTGGAAAGACCTCTTGAAATGCTTATGTTTATTATTATTAAGTCTTTCCACCTTTCTGTGGAAAGACTTCTTGAAATGCTTATGTTTATTATTATTATTTTTCCGCTACGGACTTTTGATCTGAAAGACTTATCGAAAAACTTTTTAGTTCATGATACTCGACATCAAAAGTTATTTCGAAAAACAACCCAACGTATATGACCTATGTCCCCTTTCGGAGTTCTCCCCCTTTGTGCGAAAAACCATTGTTATCGCTACTCTTCCGAAACCGTAAACCGTAGAGATACAAAACCTTCAACAATGTCTACGACTACTTTAGGAGACTCTTGAATCTATTCATTGCGAAAGGATTCGTAAACCCCTACAATGAATTATTGCCCCTGAATGTTTGCAATGTTTACGATTGTCAAGATCTTTTCTTAAACGACAAGGCGTAGAGACATGGGGCCAACTGCAAAAGATTCATTGACCTTTGACCTTGAAATTTAGGTAAAGGTCAAAGGTCAAGGTCATTCAAAATTTGTAAAATAAAGCATTTTTTATAGCTCTTGTTCTTCACCAACTTTTAAATATCTTTGCATCTTCAATATGTACTCTTAAAACCATTTCAGGGATTTCATGCTTGTCCCCTAAGATTGACCCCTCTAAAAGTTAGTGCCCCTTCCAGTGTAAACCCTTGTTATCGCTACTCCTCCGAAACCGTAAACCGCAGAGATACAAAACCTTCAACAATGTCTACGACTAATTTAGTACACTCTTGAATCTATTCATTGCGAAAGGATTCGTCAACCATTTTAAGTAGTTATTGCCCCTTACAGATTCTGATGTTTACGAAGAACTAAAAACTTTTTAACGACAAGCCGTAAAGACATTTGGACAATGCATGAGATATTTTGACCTTTGACCTTGAAGATTAGGTCAAGGTCAAAGGTCAAGGTCATTGGAAAAATGTTAAAAATTGCTTATATATGCTTTGGAGGGAATTTGACCTTGACATTTGACTTTCATATCTGACCTCGACCTTTGACCTTGACCCAAAAGTTAAATGATATATTCATTACCTTTACCTAGATTCAGCTTCAAGTTTTAAACTCAAGTTCATAAGTTTTTTCTTTTTGATGACCTTGACCTTTGACCTTGATAAATGACCTTGACCTTTGACCCCCTATTGACCCAAAGGTCTCAATCAAGCTTAAGGTCGTTGAGGTATTTGCAACTCTTACTCTAACAAATGCTTATATCTCTCTCTCTCCCCCCCCCTCCCCCCTTTCCTTAAAAAAAAAAAATCCAGAAGCAGCATAGAGAAAATGTCTACAAGTCAAAAGTCACGATATATCGACATAAGATTCGGAGTAAAAGCAAGAAGAGACCTTAAAGAAAGTGTCCTGAGAGTTTTAAGGTGAGTCTCTAAAATATAATGAAATTCTAGTGAAAATCGGCAAAATCTGCATTTTTTTCTGTCTGAAATTTAGTTAAAATTAAAGCCCGTATTGGCTATTTCTGCAACTGTTGTTAATATCATTCGATTCTCCTGCTCTATTACGACATTTTAATGCCAAGTATTCTTGCGTTCTTTAGTGTATGGAATTTATTTCAATTTTATTTGGATTTAATATTAATGGAATGAATCTTGATTTCATCTGAAATTAGATTTTTTTTCCCCTAGAATAACACAATCCGAAGAAATAGCGACTTTCAGCATAGTAGAAAGAAATACACGTTTCTTCCCTGTGTTTCCCATCTAGAATTTCATGTTTTGAATTTTATTTATGCTACTTACATTGAATTTCATGCCTGTTTCGGTCAGGAATGTTAAAACCCGAACCCGATTCTCTGTATTCCTTTTCCATAATTACAAACTGCCTTGCATCTCTCGCTATGTTTCTCACATGCTCTTAAATAATTTATCGCCATCCATTTCAAACACAAAACAACTCAAATCGGATATTTTCAAACATCTCTTTAATACATGTATAATGCAAATATGATGCAGGTACACATGGGACATTTCACAACGTTTTCACTTACGCTTCCGTCTTGATGCGCAGATCAAATGCATGTTATTCATATTAATAGGTATATCATAATTTTAATCAGACCTTACCCCTTACATCTTAACTCGAAAACAATTTCATTCAAGCTCATATATACACCTAGGAGCGTGTTACACTGTTTTTTCTGTGCTCTCTTTGCGTGATCAATGAATTGGTGCTTATCCCCGAGTCGACTACAAACAATCTAGGAAGACTGTTTAGAGTAAAATTATACCAACTGCGAGCCCGATCTGAATTCCTAGTAGAGAAATGAGAATTTTGCTGTTTTATTTATTTTCTTGCTTTTTTTCTACTTTTTTCAGCCCAAATGATATGGAAACACTTAAAAAGGTGGAAAGACGTCTTATTGTTCTCTGAACAATTAGTTTACTAGTTAGGTCTTTCCACCTTTCTGTGGAAAGACCTATTGATATTCTTCTGTTTATTATTATTAGGTCTTTCCACCTTTCTGTGGAAAGACCTATTGATTTCCTTCTGTTTCTTCTTTTCCATTATTATTATTTTTCCGCCGTGTGATTTTGAGTTTCAAGATATATCGAAAAGATTTATAGTCCATAAGAATTTTCTTCGTAAAAGATTATTGCAGTTCACCCTGCGTAAATGAACCTTGATCCCTTTCGGAGTTACGACCCCTTTTGCAAGAAATGCTTGTTATCGCTACTCCTCAGAAACCGTAAACCACAGAGGTATGAAACCTTCACCAATGTCTTTGACTAATTAAAGGGACTCTTCAATCTATTCATTGCGAAAGCATTTGCTGACCCCTTCAATGAGTTATTGCCCCTGAAACTTTTTGAATTTTACAAATAATTAAAAATTTTCAAAACGAGAAGTCGTAGAGACATGGGACCAACTGCATAAGATTCATTGACCTTTGACCTTATAATTCTTGTAAAAGTCAAAGGTCAAGGTCATTCCAAAAATGAGAAAATTAGCTCTTTTTGTATCTCTTTTGTCTTTCAACATATACTTAATGTCTATGCATCATTATAATGTACTCTTAAAACTGTTTCAAAGATTTCATTCTTGTCCCCTAACATGAACCCATTTAAAAGTTATTGCCCCTTGTGCTAAAAATCCTTGTTATCGCTACTCCTCTGAAACCGTAAACCGTAAAGGTATGAAACCTTCACCAATGGTTTTGCCTAATTATGGGGAATCTTCAATCTATTCATTGCGATAGCATTTGATAACCCCTTCAATGAGTTATTGCCCCTGAAACTTTTTGAAAATTACAAATGATTAAAAATTTTCAAAACGACAGGTCGTAGAGACATGGGACCAACTGCATAAGATTCATTGACCTTTGACCTTCAAATTCATGTAAAAATCAAAGGTCAAGGTCATTCTAAAAATGGAAAATTTAGCTCTTTTTATATCTCTTTTGTCTTTTAACATATACTTAATGTCTATGCATCATTAATATGTACTCTTAAAACTGTTTCAAAGATTTCAGTCTTGTCCCCTAATATTAACCCTTTTAAAAGTAATTGCCCCTTGTGCGAAAAACCTTGTTATCGCTACTCCTCGGAAACCGTAGAATGTAGAGACACCAAACCTTCACTAATGTGTTAAGGGTCTTTAGGCTTAACTTCACTGTATAAATGCAAAGGATCTGATGACCACTTATATGAGTTATTGCCCTTTAAGTTCTTTGTACTTACTATTAAACCTTATAACTTGAAAACTATAAGTCATAGAAGCATGGGGGCAACTGCATTGTGACCCTTAACCTTTGACCTTGAATATTTTTCAAGGTCAAAGGTCAAGGTCATTCCATTTTTTTTTTAATTTTCATTTTTTCTATGCTTTCAGACAATTTTGGTTTCTTTTTCATGGAATATAATTTTTAGGAGTCAGATATAAAACAAATTTGAAATTTAAAGAAGGTGGAAAGACCTCTTATTGTTCTGTGAACAATAAGTCTCCTAGTTATTTTTCCGCCGCATGTTTTTTTGTTTGAAGATTTATCGAAAAGATTTATAGTCCATAAAAATGTACTCCGTAAAAGATTATTGCAGTTCACCCTGCGTAAATGAACCTTGACCCCTTTCGAAGTTATTGCCCCTTTCGCAAGAAATGCTTGTTATCGCTACTCCTCTGAAACCGTAAACCATAGAGGTATGAAACCTTCACTAGTGTCTTCGACTAATTAAGGGGACTCTTCAATCTATTCATTGCAAAAGCATTCGGTGACCCCTTCAATGAGTTATTGTCCCTGAAACTTTTTGAATTTTACAAATAAATAAAAATTTTCAAAACAAGAAGTCGTAGAGACATGGGACCAACTGTATAAGATTCATTGACCTTTGACCTTAAAATTCATGCAAAGGTCAAAGGTCAAGGTCATTCCAAAACTGAGAAAATTAGCTCTTCTTGTATCTCTTTTGTCTTTCAACATATATTTAATGTCTATGTATCATTAATATGTACTCTTAAAACTGTTTCCAAGATTTTATTCTTGTCCCCTAATATTAAACCTTTTAAAAGTTATTGCCCCTTGTGAGAAAAGCCTTGTTATCGCTACTCCTCCGAAACTGTAGACCCTAGAGACACCAAACCTTTACTGATGTCTTAAGGGTCTTTAGGACTAACTTCACTGTATAAGTGCAAAAGAATCAGATGACCCCTTATATGAGTTATTGCCCTTTAACTTCTTTATACTTACTATTAAACCTTATATCTTGAAAACTATAAATGGTAGAAGCATGGGGTTAATTGCAATATGACCCTTGACCTTTGACCTTGAAATTTTTTTTTCAAGGTCAAAGGACAAGGTCATTTCAAAAAAAAATTTTTTTTTTTACATTTTCCTTTTAATTTTAAGCCATTTCCCTTAAAATTAAATTTAGAGAGTAAAATATAAAACTATAAGAAATTTAAAAAGGTGGAAAGACCTCTTATTGTTCTGTGAACAATAAGTCTCCTAGTTATTATTCTTCTTCTTTTTTAATTCCCGGAATTTTGAAACCGCAAGACTTATCGAAAAACTTTATAGTTCATGAAACTGGATATCAAAAGTTTTATTCTGAAAAACGACAGCCCTTGTTTGAACTTTGACCCCTTTCGAAGTTATTTCCCTTTACGCAAGAAATGCTTGTTATCACTACTCCTCCGAAACCGTAAACCGTATAGACACCAAACCTTCACTAAAGTCTTCGACTAATTGAGAGGACTCTGGAATCTATTCATTGCGAAAGTATTTGGTGACTCCTTCAATGAGTTATTGCCCCTGAAACTTTTTGAATTTTAGAAATTATTAAAAATTTTCAAAACGAGAAGTGATAGAGACATGGGACCAACTGCATAAGATTCATTGAGCTTTGAGCTTAAAATCACGTAAAGGTCAAAGGTCAAGGTCATTCCAAAATTGAGAAATTGAGCTCTTTTTATATCTTTTTTGTCTCTTAACATAAAGAAACTGTCTTAGCATCATTAATATGTACTCTTAAAACTATTTGAAAGATTCAATTCATATTCCGTAAGATTGACCCTATTAAAAGTTATCGCCCTTTGTGCGGAAAACCTTGTTAGCTACTACTTCGAAACCGTAAACCGTACAAATATGAAACCTTCACTTAAGTCTTCGACTAATTGAGAGGGTTCTGGAATTTATTCATTGTGAAAGTATTTGGTGACTCCTTCAATGGGTTATTGCCCTTGAAAGTCTCTGATTTTTACAAATAATTAAAAATTTTCAAAACGAGAAGGTATAAAGACATGAGAACAACTGCATAAGATTCATTGAGCTTTGAGCTTAAAATTCATGTAAAGGTCAAAGGTCAAGGTCATTCCAAAACTGAGAAATTTAGCTCTTTTTATATCTCTTTTGTCTTTCAACATATGCTTAATGTCTATGCATCATTAATATGTACTCTTAAAACTGTTTCAAACATTTCATTCTTGTCCCTTAAGATTGACCCTATTAAAAGTTATTGCCCCTTGTGCAAAAAACATTTTATTTACTATTGCTCCAAAACCGTCTCTAATGTCTGATGGGATTTTAGGCAAAACTTTTATGCTCAAGTGCAATAGGATCTGGTGACTCCTTGAATGAGTTACTGCCCTTTAATGCTTTTGTGCTTACTATTCAACCTTATAACTTGAAAACTATAAGTCATAAAGACATGAGGTTAATTACAATGTGACCCTTGACCTTTGACCTTGAATATGATTTGAAGGTCAAAGGTCAAGGTCACCTGAAAAATTTAAAATTTTTATTTTTACTTCTTTTAAGCCATTCCTGGTTTCTTTTTTATGAAATTTAATCTTAAAGAGATAAATTATAAATGAAATTGAATTCAAAAGGTGGAAAGACCTGTTATTGTTCTTTGAACAATAAGTCTCCTAGTTATTATTATTATTTTTCCGTTATCGAAAACTGAACCGAAAGACTTATCGAAGAACTTCGCAGTTCATGATACTCGCCATTAAAAGTTATATCGAAAAAAATACCCAACGCATATGACCTATGACCCCTTTCGGAGTTCTCGCCCCTTGTATGTAATTATTTGTTATCGCTACTCCTTCGAAACCGTAAAACGTAGAAATATATGAAACCTTCACTAAAGTCTTCGACTAATTTAGTAGACTCTTCAAACTATACATTGCGAAAGTATTCGTAAACCCCTTCAATGAGTTATTGCCCCTGAAACTTTTTGAATTTTAGAAATTATTAAAAATTTTCAAAACGAGAAGTGATAGAGACATGGGATCAACTGCATAAGATTCATTGACCTTTGATCATGAAATAAATGTAAAGGTCAAAGGTCAAGGTCATTCCAAAAATGAGAAAATTAGCTCTTTTTGTATCTCTTTTGTCTTTCGACATATATATTAGGTCTATGCATCATTTATATGTTTTCTTAAAACTGTTTCAAAGATTTCATTCTTGTCCCTTAAGACTGAACCTTTTAAAAGTTATTGCCCCTTGTGCGAAAAACCACTCCTCCGAAACTGTAGACCTTAGAGACACCAAACCTTCACTAATGTCTTAAGGGTCTTTAGGCCTAACTTCACTGTATAAGTGCAAATGAATCTTATGAACCCTTATATGAGTTATTGCCCTTTAACTTCTTCATACTTACTATTATACCTTATATCTTGAAAACTATAAAAGGTAGAAGCATGGGGTTAATTGCATTGTGACCTTTGACCTTTGACCTTGAAAAATTTTTCAAGGTCAAAGATCAAGGTCATTTCAATTTTTTTTGTTTTAATTTTCAATTTTTTTCAAGTCATTCCTTCTTAAAATTAAATTTGAGAGTAAAATATAAAATTATAAGAAATTTAAAAAGGTGGAAAGACCTCTTATTGTTCTGTGAACAATAAGTCTCCTAGTTTCTTTTTTTATTATTTTTCCGCCACATGTTTTTTTGTTTGAAGATATATCGAAAAGATTTATAGTTCATAGGAATGTACTCCGTAAAAGATGTTTGCAGTTGACCCTGCGTAAATGAACCTTGACCACTTTCGAAGTTATTGCCCCTTTCGCAAGAAATGCTTGTTATCGCTACTCCTCAGAAACCGTAAACAGCAGAGGTATGAAACCTTTACGAATGTCTTCGACTAATTATGGGGACTCTTCAATCTATTCATTGCGAAAGTATTCGGTGACCCCTTCAATGAGTTATTGCCCCTGAAACTTTTTGAATTTTACAAATAATTAAAAATTTTCAAAACAAGAAGTCGTAGAGACATGGGACCAACTGCATAAGATTCATTGACCTTAGACCTTAAAATTCATGTAAAGGTCAAAGGTCAAGGTCATTCCAAAACTGAGAAAATTAGCTTTTTTTGTATCTCTTTTGTCTTTCAACATATACTTAATGTCAATGAATCATTAATATGTACTCTTAAAACTGTTTCAAAGATTTCATTCTTGTCCCCTAAGATTAAACCTTTTAAAAGTTATTGCCCCTTGTGCGAAAAACCTTGTTATCGCTACTCCTCCGAAACTGTAGACCCTAGAGACACTAAACCTTCACTAATATCTTAAGGGTCTTTAGACCTAACTTCACTGTATAAGTGCAAAAGAATCTGATGACCCCTTATATGAGTTATTACCCTTTAACTTCTTTATACTAACTATTAAACCTTGTATCTTGAAAACTATAAAAGGTAAAAGCATGGGGTCAATTGCATTGTGACCCTAGACCTTTGACCTTGAATATTTTGTCAAGGTCAAAGGTCAAGGTCATTCCAAAAATTAGAAATTAAGCTCTTTTTATATCTCTTTTGTCTTTTAACATACGCAAAAAGTCTCTGCATCATTAATATGTACTCTTAAAACTATTTCAAAGATTTCATTTTTGTTCCCCAAGATTGACCCTATCAAAAGTTATTGCCCCTTATGCGAAAAACATTGTTATCGCTACAACTTCAAAACTGTAGACCGTAAATTAGTGAACTCTCCACTAATGTCTTAAGGGTCTTTAGGCACACCTTCATTGTATAAGTACTAAAGGTTTTAATGACCCTTTATATGAGTTATTGCCCTTTAACTTCTTTGCACTTAATATTTAAACTTATAACTATAGAACTAAAAGTCGTAGAGGCATGGGGTCAATTGCAATGTGACCCTTGACCTTTGACCTTGAAGATCTGAACAAGGTCAAAGGTCAGGGTCATTTCAAAATTTTTTTTTTATTATTTTCATTTTCTTTTTTTTTAAGCCATTTCCCTTAAAATTAAATTGGAGAGTAAAATATAAAAATACAAGAAATTTAAAAAGGTGGAAAGACCTCTTATTGTTCTGTGAACAATAAGTCTCCTAGTTATAAGTATTAATTGTAAAGCACACTGGTGTGAGGATCAAATACCGGTATGGCCGGTTATTACATTGCTCTTTTCTCCTTACAAAATAGTTTATATTAGGTACATGTATCCACTACATTTGAATTTCAAACATGCCAGTAAAATTGTCAAGCTATATTTTGAGTTAAAAAGTGTCGCTACGATTCAAAATAATAAATGTAATTTTAGAGAAAAAGAAATGTACAGAAGATGTTCAAATGGAAAACTTGATCCTGATAAAAAGAGAGAGGGTTGTTGCTGAAAAAAGGAAAGCTGCAGCTCTTGAACGTATTGCAACAGCACTGGAAGCCAAGATGAAAAAATGATTATTATATCAGAAATAAAACAAACTACTGTTATCTAAATCTTGTATTGATTTCATTTTCATAAGAGATTTGCAACTTGGTGTCTTAATTGCTGTGCTGACACAGTGGCAACATCTCTGCATACAGCATGATGGTTTACATTCACGATGCGGCCCCCATCTCTTAGTGGAAGTTTTTCTTCAATTGCAACATTGTGTAGTCTGAAACAGGTCTCTATCACCCGAGAACATTTTAATGAGGAAAATGGTAGCGAACCTCCCGTTTTATTCAGACATCTAGAATAAAGAAAAGAAATGAGCTAATAAATCCATGCTTTAAGGTTTCTCTTTGACTGCACATTAGTTGGATATAATTTTTTAAAAATATAAATACACATATGTAAATAGAAAACTACAACGATGATAATATTACCTGAATCTTGACTTAAACACCCCAAAAGCTCTCTCAACGACAACCCTTGTTCTTCCGTGGGCCTCGTTGAACTTTTCCTCTTGTTGGTTGCTTGGAGATGGGAAGGGGGTGAGGATCCAATTCTTAAGTGGATATCCGGAATCTCCAAGTAACCATCCGCCTTCAGGGAGAGACTGAATTCTTCTTGGAAGTCCCCAGTTCGTCAAAACAAAAGCATCGTAAGTTGAGCCCGGAAAAGAAGCGTTGATGTGAAGAAATCTTGAAATAGAAAATAAATGATATGTCTTATATGGAGAATACTAGTTCTTAGTGTTTTCGAAAGTTGATATTTTCTTTTGTTTATTATTATCATTTTTTAGTAAGATATACTGTGATCTTCTCTTCAATGCTTTATTCTATATATATATATAACTATATCTAACTTCATCTTTGCATCAGCGACTGCCTGTATATTCAGTGCATGGAAGTTTTTTCTGCAAACATATGCAGATTCGTCTGGCCCACTCATTCCTTTGATGGCAATGAGAGTTCCATCTACAGCCCCAACACAATTCGGCATTTTTGCAATGTCGTGTAACTCTGACTTCATCTCCCTCAACTCTGCTACCCGCTCAGGAAATGATATATTCTTGAAAGTGTCGTTGATAGCCAGACAAACTTTAAAATAACTTAATAAATTATATACATGTATGTATATATACTATAACGTTAAGAAAATAAATACCTTGATCATTTAATTTTTTTAAATCTTAGCTTACTTAAATGCCATAAAAGTTTTAATTATTTGATAGATTTTATACTTGTGAAACATTCGTATAAGTAATAAATACCATTGTGAATAATACGGGAAACAGAAGGTCTTGAAATTCCATGCAAGTCACCAACTTCCGAGAAAAAGTCGCCCTTTGCAAGATATCGTAGAGTAACCAGAACCTACATGTATATTGACAATACAATGAAAAAAATAATACATTTGAAACCATGAATTATTTTGCAAAAACTAAATATATAAGTTTTTTTTTTTACTTAACCATTTGAATTTCTCTCTCTTATTTATATAGTTCCAATGCACAGGTACTTGTGGAAAGGACCCCCCTCCCCATATTCAACCCCGGGGCTTGTTAGACTTTTTTTCCACAAATTATTTCTTACACTTATTCATCACATTACTAAAATATGAAAAAATCGTCAAAACCCCCAAACAACTATACATTATATAAAAGGAGATGCATAGTGGGTATTTTTTTGAGGAGCGGTAGTTTTGGGGGTTTTAACGATTTTTTTCATATTGTATACATGATGAATAAGTGTAATATAAATATAATTTGTGGAAAAAAAGTCCAATAAGCCCCGGGGTTGAATATGGGGGGGGGGAGGTCCTGTCCACAAGTACCTGTGTTCCAATGCTAATTTAAAGAACAAATTCAATTCATTTTTCCCAGAAATAAATAATAACTTATAATTGTATACATTATTTATTTATCAAAATTAATAAATCAATCACCTGTGTGTGAACAGGTACAGCATTGTCCCTGAAAGTAGGTCGCAATATATATGGTTCAACTTCATGGATTATCCTATCAATGACGTGTCGTGGAAAACGGTATCGTTCAATTAGGTCTTTGTCGTCAAGCGTAAATAAAATTTTAAACCTCTTTCTATAAACCCTCTCTCTTCTCATCATTCTTCTTTTTCTACGCCTCAAAAACAGTAGGGTCGCCATTTTTCAGAAATTGTATACAGACTAAGAACTTACGCCTGCCCAAGAGCGGGCGTAGATTTAAGCCAAGATTTAATCTCGGCCTAAATATCGGCCTTTTTGTGAAACGCAACCTAGTCCGATTGTCAGGTTTAGTCCTCAGTTTAGTCCGGACTAAGCTTACGACTGGTCGTAGGCCTTTTTGAGAAACGAGCCCGAGATGAACAAATGTGATCAGATGGTTGTGCATTTAACACATTTAATATGTCAGATTTTAGTAGACCTATATCAAGGTTGGAAGGTACTTCTTCCGTTGACCCTGGATATCAAATTCAGGACAGTGGTTCTTTTAATTCAATATCGAGTACAAATTTATCCGAAACGTGTGGTAATTTGTCGCGAGATTGTACATCGAGCCCCTCTACTATTCAGCAAGGTATAAGACGTTCCACTAGAGTAAAAAAATCCTCCTGATAGATATGGTCAGTGGGTTATAGGTAAGCATGAGGCTCAAGTATGGTATGTGTAGGAGGAGAATGTCACAGGAATCTTACAAACAGGAATTACTTAAGAGTTCAGATAGTTAGTTGTATAAAGTTTTATGATGTTGTATTAATATAGTATTTCTATAGTTAGTAGTGCTAAGATGTACTGATATACTTGATAGTTTCATGACTTGCGTGTTCGTTAGTTGATCATATTGCTTATATTTTAAGATACATTATTAATCATGGATTGCTTTTCAGCTTAGCTATTCATGATGCCAGTTTTAGACTATTACACATACATGAATTGATTAAATTATTTTGTATTTCAGCTTGTGCTAATACAAACGGCTTTCTTTTTTGCTGCAAAGCAGAAGATGTTTCAAAACATTAGAAATCAATTGTGTGTTGATATATTTTATTATCAATAATTGTTTTATTTCAGTTGATATATTTTGTACTTGTGGCATTAAGTCTAGGATTACGGTAAGAAATAATTGTTAAGGTGGCTCATTACATCCACAGTTTATTTTAGATTTTAATACAGCACCACTTAATGTAGATGTCAAATATCCAAATGGGGCTATTGATATTATAAATATTTTTTTTTAGAATTTTTTTTTTATTTTTTCTTCTGTTTTAGTGAAATGTTTTATTTCAGGTTTATTATTCACAGAATTTCAGAACTTTCAGTGTCAAACATGTCAAATGATGGGCATCTTTTTAAGACAAGTATATACAGTGAAAATACCTCATAATAACTAATAATAATTTTATTAGAAAAAATGATTTTCTCCTAGAAAACAATTAATGTCATTATCTTTTTAATTTATGCATAAACATTTTAAAAATTTGTTCTGAAGAGACAAGGAATGTATTTCAATGAATTACATGTGTCAAATTGAATGAACAAAGTTTAAACGAAATGAAACATGTGAAAAATCCAATTTAAAAAACATTTGGTATAGAAAGTCCACTTTCAAGAGTTATCTTTCCTAATTAGCCAAATCAATAAAACAAATATATAAATGAACACCAACACAGTAAATAGCGCAATGAAATAAAATTTCAACAAGGTTGTAGATTTTAACTCGAATTTCCTCCATACATACATGTCATTGATTGATAGAGTTCACTGCATGCATGGCTATGAAATTGACATTACTTGTTTGGCGAAGATTTGACTGTTGCTTTCTTTTGTTTCTGCCTAAAAGCAATTCTTCTTGGTTTATGCATAATGAATCCGTTACTTTGTTTTCACTGTTTGCAACACCGCATGTTTCATCTATTTTTAAAGCGTTTTAAAGGTCAGGGTCATATTATAGAGATACCTATACTACTCGTCCCCTGAGCAAACCGGTCGACACAATGGAGGTCTATTTTTTGTGTAGTACGTCATCAAAAAGTGGTGTAATGAGCCTCCTTAAATTATTTCTTAGTATTCAATTATCATTTAGTATCTATTTTATCATTTTTTTTTAACTGAAGTGAATTTCTGAATTTTCTAAATTATTAAGATTAAATTAATTCGCATAAAAGTGTGTGTAAGAGATATTAAATACAGTTTATATTTTATTTCAGGTCACCCTCTTCTTTTTCTGACTACGTATAATATATTAAAAAGTATCGAACCCAGCAGCCGTATTTGTGTTCATTATTTCAACTACAATACCTAGACTAGGCTGTGATACGTGTTTTACCCACTGTGACGTAATGGCAGCAAAGTCTGTTCAGTTAGAACTGTGTCATTGCACTCACTTATAATGATAATATAATACATGTATAAATGTTATGGATTTCAGTGAACGGTCAATACATGTACCTGTCTGTGGTTATAAGGACTCCTGGCAATTGACATTGACCTCAGACACAGAAAAATGATAACGACCTCGCTATCACTTTCTGTGTCTTTGGTCAATTTCAATTGCCATGAGTCCTTATTATACAGTTATTGACCGGGTATGAGGGCAACTTATGATTTTTTGGACTTGAAGGTGAAAATGTTGTTTGAGGCCGCAGGCCAAGGGCAACATTTTCACCGTCAGGTCCAACAAATCATATGTTGCCCGAATCCCAGTCTATCACTGTTTTGTTTTACCCATCACTACTCACTTTAGATTGATCAATTGAATCAATACTCGCTATATTATTAATTATTTTGTATGGAAAATTATGTCTTCTTCAGTAAGATATAAAACATCAAGCCCAGAAAGAACAAAATCAATTACAGTGGACCTTCATATATTTGAACCCCAGATATCCGGATGCTCAGTATCCGGACAATTTTTCATCGGGACGGAATTTTTTAATGTTATATTGTTTTGTTTAACTGGTGATTCATGTATCCAGACGCTTCACATTTCCGGACAAATTGACTGGGAACCAAAGCGTCCGAATAAATGAAGCTCCAGTGTATATATTTACTGTATCACAAAAATAATTTATCACAAAACATACTCTTTCCTTCTTCTTACCTTACTCTAAGCAACAACTTCGGCTATTTTCGCGCTACCGATATTGAACGATGATTTATTTCTTGTGACGTAACAGAAGAGTGCCATTGCGGTCTAAGAATTCTTATATAAGAAATTGTTAGACCGATGTTTTAAACAGTTCTTTTGTTGGACTTTTTATAAGTAATAAATACATAGAATGATATTTATGAGGGTATAACAATATACAGTTATTAACTGGGTATGAGGGCAACATATGATTTGTTGGATTTAAAGGTGAAAATGTTCCCCGAGGCAGCAAGACCAAGGGCTACATTTTCACCTTCCAGTTTAAAAAATCATATGTTGCCCGAATCCCAGCCTATAACTGTTTTGTTATAACCTTCAGTGTGTGGCAGAATGGTTTTTAATAAATAATTAATAAAGAATATTCATTTATCTCAAATAATAGTTTTCATTATCATCATTGCACTTCCCACTTTGCGTGTTACTTATTCTAACTGGCTGACCTTGTCGACCTTTGACATTACGAGTAACGTGATTTTATTGGCCAAGGGTTTTGACGGTAAGTTTTCTATTGTTCAATGTGTTGTGCTGGGGTACTTCCTTCTCGCGCGGATAGCCAAAGTTACCGGCTGTGAGACCATTCTGTCTCGGTGATAATATTATTCAACAGTTGTGTTTTACAAGATTTTAATTCAAGGATTAATATACAGATCACATACAGTTCTGTATAATAGATGTAATATTGAACCAGCAATTTATTAGCAGCCTGATTCCATAAATTGGTATGCTGTTGGAATTATTAATTGTTTTTACATTTTTATAATACTTTGATTAATTACTCAATCACACGTTACTGTACAGAACTAAGAACGATAGTATTGTTCTCTTGTTCTCCCGCCTTCTTCTAAGTCAATTCTCAAAAGTTAACATATTAGAATGAACATTTTTATAGAGTATTATATGAATTTTCATAAAACGTTACTTATTTGGGATACCAAAGAGAGATGACTCTATAATTTTGGTTAAATTTGTGTTTTCACTATGGAAATCAACGGAAAACGGAAAATATTTTCAAAACACCCCCCCCCCCCCGTGAAACAAAAATTCCTTTTTACAGGTAATATGGACTGTCATTTTACAAATATGCCAAAACTCTTTGTGTTTCACTGGGGGGACATATGTTTATAGACAAAAAACGAAAAAAATGCTGATTTTTCACCAATTTTAAAGCTATTTACTACTAAATGTGGTAT